GTTCCTCTGCCTGCTCAACCTCCCTATCCTCAGTTCTGATTGCTGCTGAGCCCAGATAACGCTGTATGGATGGGGTGCCTTAAACGCTGAAGTTAATTTGGTTAAAGGCATTGCCTTGAACAGGTGCTTGAATTCCAAGTTTGATTTGGTTTAAGTTTTTATTATAGCAATGTCTGTTAATTACCAACAAAGATAATGATATTTCTTGTAGTCAGGTATGTTTTACTGTTAGATAGCAGCTGTGGCCCAGTTTCCAGTAATGTACAGGTTAATAACATATGGAAAATCTTGTAATATCTACAGGTATTTGGAAGGAAGTACATCCGTCTGTATTCACCGCAGGATTCAGAAAACCTGTACCCACATGAAACCCAAATTCTTCACAACACCAGTCAGGTAAATAGTTGCCTGTATTTCAGTATCAGTAATGTCACTTTATCAAATCACGTTTGAGTAAAGACATTGTACTGACGATTGCTTTGGATTTTGTAGGTTGATGTGGAAGATCCCGACTTAGATAAATTTCCCAATTTCACAAAGGCTGCATTTCAGTCCTGTATCCTGAAGCCTGGACAGGTTCTGTTTATTCCAGTTAAATATTGGCACTATGTACGATCGCTTGATATCAGCTTCTCAGTCAGTTTCTGGTGGTCATAGCTCTGAAGCTATAAAGTCTGTTGTGCATTGGAACAGGAATGAAAAATCAGAAAACAGCACCAGGCATCTTCTCACCAAAGAATTCTTCTTAAGCATGAGGACGTTCTTCCCTACCCAGAGGTGGATTTAAAGAGTAATTTGAAAAACAAACAAAACCCCCCACTCTCACTTCAGCTGGTGAAAGAATCTGGGTGGGTAAATGGAGAGACGGTACAGCCACTTCGTTTCTGTGGGTGTTCCTGACAGGAACTCATAAAGAGCAGCTCCTGGGCCCTGATCTCGTATGTGTGTACACCTGAAACAGCGCTCTGTGGGCACTGCCAGGACTGCTTCAAACTGTGTGTGTAACATCTGGCTCGTGTTGCTTTCTGCTTGGATTTAGTAGCAGCAAGAATTGGGAGTTACATAAACAGTGAGGGATGGTGCTACCCAAAGGTTCAGTATGTTAAAAAAACAACAAAACACAAACAAGATACTAGTCTGTATGAGAAAAGCAGCTAGTGTTAAGGCCTAGGAACGTATTTAATTGTAGCTAATCCATAGTTTAATTGCAGTTAAATAAACTGAAGCTTAATCACACTTTAATTAACTATCAGCTGAACTGCTGATGCTGCTTTCTGCCGTGTCACACATTTCTAGACAAAAGATGCTGCCATTCCAGTGCGGTACCTGGCAGTATCTATTCCTTGTCCTTTCTTAAAGGACAAAGCATCTTTACACAGGATTGGAGTGAAGTGCTAATACTAAAAACGCAAAGAATTTTAAGATGCTGTTTTTTCAGACATAAGCTGGCACTGCCCCACAAGTCTTGCCCTGCTCCTTCCCAGTCGTTCTGACATAGGAACGTTCCCTCTTGGGCTGCACGTCGCTGCCGACCTGGCCTTGCATCGCACGAACTCTGCTGTGCCCACACCCAAGCAGCGGCGCCAGCTGAACGTGTTCAGGCTCCGGCCCCAGCTCGGCCCTCGGCTGCCTCAGCCAGGAGCCTTCGAGTGCTGCCCTGGTTGTCCACACACGTGAAGCTGCTTCATTTCCAGTTGTGCAACTGAGCTACACAAATAGGGAACGGCTCCTTTCAGTGCTCACCTGCACAGATCAGCTTGCACGACTGGCTCAGAACATTTGATTTTTCCATTCCCAAAGAGGCACTGAGATTCCCAGCCCACGAATATGGAGAATTACATACACAAAACAGCTGCCATGAAAGCTGCGCAGGCCTAACTGTGAAGGAGGAGGATAGAAAGGTCAATGATAGTTTTATTGTAAGATTCTTAAAACTTGGGAAAAGTAAGTACACTGAACAATGCACTGTTGGGAATGAGTATAACACAGTGGCTATTCCACAAAAGGGGGGGGAAAGGGTTTCACTGAAAGCGAGTTTCACTGTCACCGTCTTGAGCTCTTCTCTGCTCTCCCTGTTCGTAATGGTGACTGGGAGTCTGTGCGACCCAAACCTGTGAAGAAAACAGAAGTTAATGAACGACACACAGAAAAAGGATGACATTGTATAAAACGGTTCATGTATTCCTGTGCTGCTGTTCAGGATTCCCTGGCTAAACAGGAACTCCAAAGACACTGCTCTTCTCAGAAGCTCGGTATTTCCAGAGGCTTTAGTGTGTGTCCATCCCCTACCCACCCCTCCACACTTTAATGTTGGGAGCAATACAACATGCGCAGGATCCGCCAGTGATGGCGAGGCAGAATCCTTTCAGGGCTTGGTGTTGCCATGCATGGTTTACGGACTGAAACATAGAAATAACCGATATTACAGTCACAAATAATACAGGTGGTGCCACTGAATATCAGCCCATTCTCTAGCATTGTTACACGGAGGTTTTTTACATAGGTGGCTTGGTACCTGGGATGTCCCAAGACCAGACGTCATTGCACTGCGGGCAGCGTGGTTCAGCCTGGACTCTGAAGTACTTTCTGACACAGGGCAGATGCATTGCAATTCCACAGGTTTCGCATGCTTGGCTCTGAAATCAGAAGTGTTCATAAATCTGAGCTGTCCTTCCATTCCACACAAGTTGTTATGAAGATAAGCAGTGCTTTACTACAACGAATGGGTCACACAGTACAGCTGCTGAATGGTAAAAGCTGGTAAATGGTACAAGGAGGTCTCTTCCTGGAAACTCGGAAATACTATTTCCCTATATGAACAAAACACAGCTTGAAAAACAAACACTGAGCTATTTGGCTTCAATAAAGGAGACCAATTGGGATGGAAAAAGTAACATGTAAACAGTTGGGAAGATGAGGAGATGCAGTAATCTGGGAACAGGAGTTCAGACAGTAAACACGCAAGACTAAACTGGAAACTTAGCAGCTGTTGAAATACAGCGCTTTGGCAATGCTATATATGGACATACATCTCCATTCTGAAGTGCAAGACACGAGCAATTCCTGAACCAAAATCCCAGACCAAAGATGACTGTGTGTCACATGAAGACTGCTGTTTGTACAGTCCAGAGATAAGAGCCAAGGTCATCTGGGCAAGGCCTGGCTTTGGACAGCAAGACAGCACCAGAATGTTCCTCACTGGGCACGTTCCCTTTCTCTAAGTTTACACTCTGAGATAACTGCTCCAGGACAAGTTTTCTTCCAAAGACGGAAGATAAAATATCTACACTGGAAAAAAACGCATTTTCCTTGCATTCATGGGCACCGTTACCAGATTACTTGACCAGAATTTTTCAGTACTCAAAGGAAAGCACCACAGACTTCAGGTGTGGCCACTCGAGTGCATGGGCACATGCCCACCGAGGTAATAAAACAAACCTAACCTGGATGGCAAGGCTGTGGCAGATGTTACACTTCCTTGCCAGGTCTTGGTAGTTGCTGAGAATGTATTGCTCCATCTCAATTATGCAGCGAGTATGCAGCGTGTATTCTCCATTTCTCTAAGGAAACAAGGCAAGAGAAGGAACTTATTTTAATTTAAGTTTTGACTTTTCTCTCCATCCACTAGCAAGCATTGACATCCACTTCTTTCTGCCACTGTGAAGCTAACATGCTGATACTGACACCATGCAAAGCCAAACTACTTCAGAAGTAGCAGAATTCATTTGTTCAGAGGATCAGAATAAAGATCTCGCACCTTTAGCAGAGATCTAGTCCTTGGAAGGTACCGATGAGTGAGCACACTCTCCCTAACAAAGACATGCAGTTTTGGGACTCTCCATTTGCACATTAGCAGAAATTCCACTGGTTTTCAGCAAAACTCAGATATTTACAGCTTGAGGTATCTTGTGAAAATCTCTGCTAAATCCCTCCAGCAGCAGGAAATGTGTGGCAGCAGGCTGGAGCTGTACGATGCAGTGAACCCAGGAGAAATGGACTGAGGTCCCCTTGTCTTGGGAGGCTCCTGCAGCGTCCACACCATAACCCAGCCCCTGTTCCTCACGAGGTAAAGAAGACACCAAAGTGTGCGCAGTGGTCTGGTCTCTGGTACAGGAGTTAACGCTTGGCCTCGCTGCTTTTCAGGATGTTCTACGCTAACAAACAGCACTGATCACCCTGGCGAGCTTTGCCCAGCACCAGTTCCATGTCCAAGCACGCCATGCTGTGCTGTACAAAGGACGTCTGCCTGTCTGTGTCTGTCTGTCTGTGTTTCTGCCTGTCTGTGTCTGCCTCTATGCAGGGCTGTGCAGATGCTCGGGTACGAGAAACTCAAACCGCATTGTCCTGTGTAGACGGACCCTTGTGAAGGCACCACCTTTCTGCAAGCGTCACTGGAGCAGCAATGAGCACAGGCCCCACAGAACTATTTTTGCCTTGATTCAGTAAAGAACGGCTCCAGTTTCAGCCATCACATCCATAAGAAAATTAATGGCTGGACCTATTAGGATACAAACACTTGAAAAGATACAGCAGTTACCTCAGAGAGCCACTTATCCTCCACAAAGACTTGCAGCAGTTGTTCTGCTTCTTTTTTCTTCATTTTCTTTGTCTTAAGTTGGTCAACGAGGTTTAAAATATCTGTAGAAGAGGCAAAGCCATTTTCTGAGGAAATGATTAGGTCCATCTACAGAAAGAAACATTTTCAGCTGTTAAAAACCCATGCAATTAGACAGACACCTCATAGTAACGTGCAGCTTTCTTTGCATCCATCCATACAAGACACATTACAGTATACGGCTTGAACCAGAGCTGTAAAACAAGGGTGACACAGTCATTGTTACCTTGACAGTTTTAGTCTTTGCCAAGAAAACTCTTCCACAGGTAGAACTGCACAGTGCAGCCAAAATGAAGCTGCACTCGGGGACCCCTGAGCCTACTCCGGGTGACCGACCTGTGTCTTTTTATCTGCTCTCTGTCAAGGTTCTCTTGAGGAAAACTCACTCCTAATAACCCAAGTCTGTCCACTCTGGAGTCATTCGTACTGCTGGAGCTGCCTGGCACTTAAGTACTGGCAGCACTGCCCATTTCCAAGAACCTCTGTGGAAACACCCTGGTGCTCATCACCAGAGCCGTGGAAATCTAATCTGTATGTTATTAGCATAGAAATCTACTGTATGTTACTAGATCACTGAAGCCAGTGAAAAAATCCGCAATCACAACTGGAAATGCTGAAGAAAGGTGACTGTTGAACTAAAAGCAGGTATGTCAGGTCACTCACTCCAAGGAGCAGTCCCTCACTGCTGATTTCAGTGTATCAACAACTGACTTTCAATGAGGAATCATCATGTGCACGTACTCCTGTCCCCATCCCCCCATTCAATTTGGGATAAACTCGGGTAAGCTGGCAGCTAGTTCCTGAATCGCATCTCCACTCACTTTAAGATGGTACCTTCACAAATAATGTGATTTATGAACCAAGAACTGACGTACTTACTGTTTTTCTGAACAGTTCTAACTCAGTTTCTGTGTAGTCGGATGCCATTTTAGTTATTTCCGTTTCTGCCAAATTCACCTACAAAAAATAAATTGAAATCAAACTGCTGAAAAAGTCTCCCGTGGAAAGAAATCTCACTTCAGACTTAAGCAGTGTTTATGTGAGTAAACCCGAGCCGCTGCAGCCCCTGCTGCCAGGGCAGCTCCTCCAGCACCACAGGAGCAGCCCCCGTGCTCACCAAGGCGTAATGCGCCCGCCCGTCGCCCTCCGACATCCCCTTCCGGATCTGCAGGAACAGAGGCTGGAGGTGGCTGTTGATGGTGCTGATGAAATCGTCCAGTTTATCGTGCGCGTAGTAGACTGAATGTAAACAAGGAAAGCACATGCACAAAAAATCAGGCAGACGTTGTGATGGTTTATCTGCTGAGATATTTTTCCTAGGTAAAAGAGCTCAAAGTCAGTGCGGCAGAACTCAGCCAGGTCTGTTGTATTCAGCACACACACTTTCCTGTGCTGCTGACTACCAGCCTTCAGAGCAGCTGGGCACGTTCTGCCTCGCTGTAAGGAACCCACCGCATTAATCCATTAATTACAGGGACTTGAGCTGAGCTGAGTTGAAAATAAAACACAACTGAGGAAAATTACAGCACACAATACAAAAATATACTTGCTTTCTTCCCTTTACATACAAGTGCTTCGTTGTTTCTTTGTGTTCTCTTTCAGAAATTAATGGCATGTAAATAATCAAGTTACATACCAGGAAACTTCAAGGTCTAGCATTGTAGAGACACAAACAAATTAAACACCAGCAGCAGTTCTACCACAGCCACATGAGGAGGGACCGGAGCCGCTCTGTAGAACCACGAGCTGCAGTGTCTGCTCACACCCTCCAGAGCTTCCATCCAGAACAGAACAGCGTCAGCAGGACAGGCTTTAAAAACAGAGCTAGGTAACAGCTCATAGCTTTAGAAAAACGATCCATGTCTCAAAAACACTACCAGTCATCACTAACTTCACACTATTCTCGGTCACAAGGGTCCATCACTTGTGTAACAGCACCAGAGGTCCCACACCCAGAACCCCACTGCACCTCATGGCGCAGTGCAGCGCAGAAACGTCGCTCAGGGATGCTCCTGCCCAGGAGTCCATGACTGATACATCAGACCCCTCTGAACCAGGCCCACAGACAGCAAGGACAGTGATCAGGCACCATGTGTCACACCACACTCCTGGTTTTCCCTTTGGTCTAGCAACACCAAAGCCAAGCCAGAACACTTCCTGGTACCAGCACAAGGCATTTACAGAAATACATAAAGCCAGGCCATGCCCTGCCTCAGAGAGCTCAATGACGTTTGAACCACAGACTAGACGATGCCATTCGCTGTCAGTTGTTTTATGTTTCTTGCTTTATATTATTTTAAACTCATATGAAACCATTCACATTAAACCTCTTTCTACACATACATCTGCAAAACACGCTTCAACCTTCTCACGAAAATCAGAACTGCTGGGACAAAGAACAACTTGCTGTGCCTGGTAGGTACTGCAGCACATCTAGAACAAACCCACCGGGAGTCCAGGGAGGGAAAATGCTGGTACTCGCGCGGCGCAGGTGGGTTTTCACCAGCACTGCAGTGCCGATGCCTGAAGAGTTCTCATTAATTTCATCGGGGACTCACAGCCAAGACTTCAGCTTTAAAGCATGACCCCCTGCCCAAGTGATGACCAACGCCCGCACTGCTACAACGCTGCTTCAGTACAGCTGCAGACTGGCACAGCCAGTCTTTTTTCAGTAATCTTAACACAGCCACTATTGAATTTTGACCCAAGGGATGTAGTCAGTCTTCATTACCACAACATCCAAATGAGTACTCGATAAGCTTCTCTACACCTAATGTTTCAATCCTGCTACAAGGCATCTGACACACAGCAAAAAATACTCAGCAGAAAATACAGCCTGCGTCAGATGGGACGCAGAAATCGGTTGCTTTGTCCTGACCTTAAATCGCATGGGTGAGCAGACACAAACCACAGTCAGGACAGACGAGTCCCTGAGAACGGGTCTGACCGTGACGACACAGCAGCACTGAGACAGGCAGGAGCCAGCGATGGGCACCATGGGGACAGCACAGCCACAAAACCTCCTCTGGTCCTGCAGAAACACCTCCTTCACGCTCACTTCTCCACAGCACGCAGGACAAGTACCTGACCTGCACTCAAAAGCATTGGATGCGGTAGCAAAGCTCTGCTGAGGAGCCGTGCATCTCGCTGCCTGCAATCCCCCATCCTCCCCAGGCCCTTTTCTGTCAGTGCTTTCTGATGTTCTTCACTCTCTACACAAAAAAGCCCGGTCTGAGGAGCCAAGGGCCACGTTTTCTTCTTCGAGCTTTGACATATCTGATGTACTATAAAGCAAAACATCAAAACAATAGCAGAGTGCCTTTTTCTGTTGTTTTGCAATGCAAACATAAGACACAGACTTCAAGCAGATGGTTATCTGCAGATTCACCCAGATACAGAAAATTCCCCAGAGCTCTGCTGAACTCTGCAGACGAGACATCAGCATAACCAGCAGCCTGGGTCACGCACAGGAGCAGCTGCTGGGTCCTTCCTGGAATACCAAATACTGAGACACAAAACAGGTAAAGCAAAACGCCCGTCTGTTCACCGAGTCCGTTTTCATACATCATTTATGTAGGGGGTCTTTCAACGGCCAAACAGAAATTACATTATGCTTAAGAAACTGACATGACTGTAGACTAAAGTGGGCACCAGCACTTATTTCCTTCTGAGTTCGGCTACCAAGCCAAGTTAAATCAAATGCAAAACACGGTTAGACAAAAGCCAGTCCGATACAATCCATGTTAATGGTTAATCAATACACTCCTCCTGTACATACAAATAGGCAAGGGAAAAAGCAATTTTCTCTCATTCTTCCATTTTTCTAAACATCTTTTCATATATGGGCTGTATCAGCCACTTTCCTAATGAACTTCACTGTAACAATATACAGTTACATTTCATAATTAATTTTACAAATATCACCTAACATTGTCCTTCACTAAATACGGCCATTGCTCTGAAAGGCAACCCGACTGTGTCCCTCCAAATTATCCTAAGCCAGGCCTAGGATTTTTAAATACACCAGAACAAGCAGATGCACCAAACACCAGCAGGGAAAGTTTTCTGATCACTTTGCTCAGAGGCTGCACGGGCTGGTTACTGAATGACTCGCCTTCATGTGATGCAGCTTTTTTACCCTTTTGTATTTAAGGAAAACAACGTCACAGATAACAGACGGCCTTATTATGTGATGTTTTAAACCTGCAGGAGAAAGGAATTAGTTCAAACAAGCTAGTTTTAGTAACGATAGCCTTGATCCGATCTGAAAGTTACTGTTCAGGTTGCACTAAGCAGTGTTAAGAAACTCCGTCGAAATCAGAACTTCACCCAGAAACAGGATGAGCTGGGTGAGCTTCCCCATAAAAATGCTGTTACCATGATCTTGTGAACTGTGATCTGTTAACTTTGTCCCTAAGGATGGGTTTGTCAATCGCTGGTTCTCCTGTTCATAAAACAAATGTGGGGGGAAGCGTTCAATACGTGAGACAAGCTCAACATCCGCTTGCCTCCAAAGATGACAAAAAGCTTTCCCAGGCAGAGCATTTAATGGAACTGTAAGTTATAACTCCCACTAACTAACTGCTAAAAACACTTTAGTTTTTAAAGTTTCTAGAGAAATAGAAAATAGAAATAGAAAATACTCAGAATAGAATATACTCGGTGCATATTAGAGCTCAGAACTGAAACATCTGACGGAGTTATCAGTCTTCCAGTAGTAATGGTTTAAAACCCATTTGAACAGCATTTGTGAGTCTCTTTTCAAATGGCACTTCTTGGTCTTACACATTCCTTGCCCTTTTCAATTTTGTTCATAAATAAGACGAAAATACAGGAACTTTAATCTTTCACTGTTTCGTGGGAACCAGCGACCATCAAGTACGCACTGATTAATTAAACGCATTACTCATTACAGCTTTATTTTGGTTTCTGCCCACCACATTTTCAAACTTAAAGATGATAAAATACAGATCTCTGGAAACAGATCCTTATCAAGCGGATTACACCTTTCTGTACTGTTTAAGTCTGAACATGAACTTCAGACAGATCTGCTAGTATACAACCAGATTTCTGTTACATGTACCAAAAAATTCAGCTTGGTATAGCACATACTAAAACCAAGCAGCTGACCACGGAATCGATCAGATGTGACAAATTTACTCAAGAAGGACAACAGCATACACTTCATATTATATTCCAAAGGAAATCTCTCCAAATAAGCGTGAAGGAAAACATTCTGGAAACTTCAGCACTATCAGTATTAGAAAATATATTTTAAAATGTATGACCTATAAAAACACCTAAAATGATAAGTGCCCTGTACAAATCTGACCTGATCAAAACTTAAGTTTCCTCATTGCTATGTTATCTTTTAGGAAAGAGAGAACACTCACATCACTAAGTTTTTAAACTTCTTTTCAGATGGTGTATGCTTTCCAGGAGTCTAATTATTCATAAGCTGCACCAGGAAATACAATAGTTCTTCCACCTCCCTGCTTTTTCTCCCAAAGAGACACACACCTTTATGGATTTCACAGCAGCGCCTGTGTGATTTCCGAGCCTCTGATCCTTCCATTATCCCATGAGACATCAGGACCTGCAAGAACCGCCGATGAGCATCCGTCATATGAGCTGCCATCGCAATATTCCACCGAGCTGCAAGTGCTGCAAGGGCAGTAAGTGGGAATTAATGCACGTGTTCACACAAATTAAAAACACACCGTCCAAGCACACATAAGATTTCAGTTAAACTCTCTAACATTGAATCAGGGCAAAAAAAAGCAGATTGCCCAGGTTGTTCTCTGAATACAGATGGTGACTAACACCAAGGTTCTAGGATGCAAAAAAGCCCAACCCCTTTTAGCTGCAGAGTAAAACCATGTAGGCATCGTGCTATCACACCCCAAACCGAAAACAGCCGTGTTGTGTGTGCAACGATCAACACTTCGCACAGCCGTGTCAGATGCTTCAGCTTACTACATATCCTAACAACTTCTCTAACCAGCGCGCAGCTTGCTTCAGGCAGAAGATCCTCCTCGAGACCTTCTGAAGAACACCAAAACTAAAGAAAACACCTCAAGATATTCCCTGGCCATCGTTAACAGCTCAGGGGACGAAAGCGGCTCCCAGCCTGCGCCAGGCCCCAGACCGCTCCAGCCCAGACGCGGGCGGGCTTCTGCCGCCTCGCACTCCCGGCGGCTCCGGGG